AGTTTGTATCCACTATCCAACCAAAAAAATAAATTTATTTAATATATCTAATATATATTTTAACGTTTGATTAATTCAAATATTAATAAAAAATATTTCATATTAAAAGACAAAAATATTGTCTATCAATAATGACTTTAGAACTCTAATTTTTCAAATTCGTGGATTATTTATTTTGGGATTTTTTATTTTCTGATTATTTTGATCTTACTTCTGCACTCTAATAATTTATTTTGAAATTATAATTTTTAATTGTAGTTCACGATCATATACAGTTTTAAATTTAAAAAATTATATTCAATAATTTAATAGGATTTTTGAATTATTCTAGAGAGTTCCAAGAACAAAAAGATATTTTTAGAAAGTCATCATTATACTGATGTAAAAGATATATTTATTTATTCTCATCAATATATAAATTAATAGTAATAGTATAAATAGTACTTATTGGGTTGAGCTAAAGTTTGTCCACATATATAATACTTCTAAATTCCAATTTTTTTTTGTGAAGAAATTCGAAGTAGAAAGATCAAAATATTTAGTTTTAGTTATGCATTCATATGAATATATATTATTTTCAAAAGTAAAACAAAAATTATATATTTAAAAATTACATAAAAGTAACAGTTCGAAGTCTAAAGGATATAAAATATTAACAAAAATTTTAAAACAGTATATAAAAATTTATATTAAACGGAAAAACCGCTTGAACAACGATTTACTCCACCGGAAAAAATAAAATTGCTGCCAGGGCAGCGATTTTCAATTATTTTTTTTGAAAATCGTTGCCTTTGGCAGCGACTTACATTTTATTTTTTTAAAAAACAAAATTGAATATCGCTGCCTAGGTAGCGATTTTGCTTTTTCCGATGAAGTAAATCGTTGTTGTTCCAGCGATATTTCCATTTTGGTTAATATAAAATTTTGTATATCGTTTTAAAATTTTTGTTAATATTTTATATAACTCCGAACTCATAAAATAGTATTAAAAAAAATATTATTTTCACTTTATTTTTAGTAGTGTAACACCTCTATTATAAAATAGGACTAGCTACTAACTTTTGGTACAAAAGAATAAAAACATTATCTTATCTTCAACTATACATGTTCATTTCTTGATTAGAATCATTGGAGAATAAAAGGATCTAAAAGATGTGAAAGTTTTTTAGATAACTATAATTATTATCCCCATCCACCTTTTTGAACCCTAAAGAGTTGATAGAGACTTTGACTTGTCATCCGCGCGGACTCTGATACAACGATGAGACTGTTTTATTTTTAATCAGAAATTTTAAATTTAATTTTATAAATATAATTTTTTTTATTGAGATTATAACCTTAAATAAATTTTATAGTGTACGATTTAAACTTAATCGAGACTTTAATATAGACTTGTGTTCTTTTTAAATCTATAATGATGAAATGACTAATGCTATCATTTTCCATATTTTCATTATTATTATTTTTTTTAATAAAAAGTAATATTTTTCTTGTTGCCACTTGTATAAAAGATAGTGAAGAGGGGTGTGGGGGTGCTCTATGGAAAAATATTTGTTTCTAAAATTGACACATAATCTTTTATAACATGATAGTAGAAACAAAGAAATATTGGGTCCCTACCTATGGTTTAAATGCTAGAAATTAAATTAATATCTTTTGTGTTAATTGAAGAGAGATATAGTATATATAGTATACATATAGAACTTAAAGTATTATAATGGAAAAAAGAAAAATGTAATGAAGAAAAGAAATTGAGGATCACTATTAGACAATATTACAATATTGAACTAGCTACATAATATAATAATTTTAGCTAATCTATTGCTAAGTAGCTTTTAATTAATTGATTTTTTTTATTTATAATTCATTGCTAATTTATAGCTAAATAGAATTAGTATAAGATCTTGTTGTTTGTTATATTTTTAAAAGTCAAATAGTATTTTGTCATCATCAGTATAATAAATATGAGATGAACTAATTTATTTTATCACATATAATAGTGTTAATGGATGTGATAACTCTTTTCTTAATTAGAGATATTAATTTTGAGTATTTAGTATAAAAAAGAAGTGCTACCTTTTTGAGTAAACTGTAGCGGTGCCAAAATATTTAATTATAGAAATAAACATACCAAGTAATCGAAGCATGTTCAACAATTAATATATTTATATAAAAAATTATTTTAGCCATATATAAATAATATTATCTGGCGAAGAGGATTTCGATGAACCCCTTAAGTACAAAGTGGCTTCACCCCTGTGAGTGAGTCTTACCTAACACAAATTTAACTTAGTTAGGCTCTAATACAGATATCAAACACAAAATGAAAAAAAAATATCTTTCGATATAATATGATAAAATATTATCTTTTATACCCTATTAAACAAAATAAATTATATTCAAAATTCGAAATATAGAAATTATAAGAAGTGGAAGTGAATATTTTCGAAAATGATTTCTCCTTATTTTCATTTTGTTGCCACTTGGAAAAAGATAGTGTAGAAGTGAATACTTTATATATATATATATATATATATATATATATATATATGTACTATGTGAAAATTTCTTTTTAAAATAGAGTTGGTGACTAGAACAAAGGTATGGTGGACCCTCATTGCTATAATTGGTGACAAATTAAAATGGACCAATTAGTCCAAATGTTGCACTAAGAAGCAAAGAGCAAAGGTGATGGGGTGGGGGTGGGGTGAGGATGGGGTCTGAGCTTTCGATTTTTTCGCTACTCGAACTTTTTTAAAAAAAATCTTCGATAAAATTGATAACATTCCTGCTCAAGACACGATTCTGAAAGAGAAAAAAGATATTCATATTCTGAAAATATATTGATTTGATTAATTCTAACATAAAAAAAAAATATAGGCTTATCAAAGAGGGTTTAAACATGCTTCTTTATCAAAAGATATTTTATTTATTTATAGGAATAATTAAAATCAGAGAAATTCGTAATTAATATAATTTGTTTTGAGCTTATGATAATTTCACATTTATTTCGTGTCATGTAGATGTGAAATTTGTTTAGGATATTATATTATACCTTCTTCTAAAAACTCCCTCATTAAAATTTTCTTTGTAATAATGCATCTAATTATATTTTTATAGACCATATTTTAAAACACCAAACCTAGATACCCAAAAATAATCAAACATTATTTGTGGATTTAACAAAATATCTCTTGATTAAGATATGATCCAAAACGATTTCTTTTTAGATCTTTGGAGGAATAATTTCTTGACAACAATTAATTATAGTCGAAATTTTATAATAACATCATATATTTGAATATGTATTAACTGGTATAATGAAATATTCGTTTTATCGAAGATATAATATAATATAATATTAAAAAAAAATTAAAAAATCCTGAGTACCATGGTAAAACGTTGTTATGAAAAATAATTGTTATACAAAAATCTGATCATGAATAATTATTTATAATATTCATATTTAAAACCTTTTAAATATTAGGTAAGATTCAATGAATTATTATTTTATCGAAGATATAATATAATATAATATTAAATTTTTTGTTAAAAATTCCTGAGTACCATAGTAAAATGTTGTTATAAAAAATAATTGTTATACAAAAAAATCTGATCATAAATAATTATTTATAATATTCATATTTAAAACCTTTTAAATATTAGGTAAGATTCAATGAATTTGTTATCATGAAGTATTGTTAGCAATTCCCAAAGTCAACATAGTTTCTAATTCAAGAATTAAAAAATAATTTCCTTATCAAAATTTGGAAATGAATAATGGAAGGCAACTTACCAATTTGATTCTAAAAAATGGACAATTTATTATTAAATTAAAACAAAGTTCCAATTATTTTTTTAAAAAAAATCTCAAAACATAGAGCAATAATGCAAATTGTAAAGATAAGTCTATGAGCCAATGAAACTTTTGCTTAGTGCTCAACAAGTCAAGTTTAATTGTTGAAAAATAAATTCAAATATCAAAAGTGAGTTTTGTCTAATTTTAATATTTTATTTGACCAAAAAAAAGGGAAGGAAAAAAAGAAAAAGCATAACACTTAAGTGGAATATGATGTGGAAAAAACCAAAAGGACTAATTAGAGAGATTATATTTATATTAAAAATTACAAATAAAAGAGAAAGACCATATCTTCATTTCCAATTAAACAAATTCAAAAATTTGATAATGTTTGATTCTAAATATCTTTGTTTTATTTTATATGATGATGATAATGTTTGTTTGAGTATGTTATTTATTTATTTAAAAGAAAACATAAAACATCTAAGTATATTCATAATATGTCTGATTTATTGTATATTTTTATCATATATTTGTTGAACATACAAAAAGTCATATTTATTTCTTTAATTTCAAATATATATGTTTGCTCATAATTTTTTTACGAAATTTTATGACTTGATTGATACATTAGAGTGACGTAGAATATCTTTGATAATTTAGGGGCAAAATTATTAGTATTTTTTTCATTTTTATATATATATTTTTTATAAAAATGAATAACGACTAGCAAATAACAAAATCAAATTAAATAATATAACTTAAGTTATGTATGGAACTTTCATGAACTGAAATATAAATACAGATTAGCCACATGTACTAAAATTATACGATCTTAAATACGTTTCAACGTCTCGATTGTATTACAAATAGAGAAACAAAAGATTATATAACTAATATTGAAGAAAAAAACATCATACATAAATATACTCTTTCAATTTCAACTGTCCCAATCTCATATTAACTTCGTTGAACTTTAAATATGCATAAATATACATTAAAATTTGTATAAACTTGAATAACTAAACACACACTCTTTTTTAACGTCCGATAACATAATTCGCATTCAACACAATATTTTATTTGTATTTGTTCAATTTTATATAAATTTAATTACGTCAAGAAAACATAAAGGGAAGCTAACAGACAAACAACTTATGGTGTTGGATCAGAAGGTTTGATTATTTTTTTTGTGTATAAATAGAAGAAGGGGGTGTTTGGAGGTGAACGTCATTAGCTTTATCAAACACTGTCTCAATCCTTAAGGATCCTATGAAACTACTCCTTCAACATATCAACCCTTGAAAAGAGAACTTCTTCTCTTGCAAAAACAAAAAAAAAAAAATTGTTAACAAAAAAGTCTCAAGTTTTCATATTTTTAGGTACCCTTTTCTTACTTTGTTTCAATTATGAGCTTATGTTTCCTCTTTTTTGGTTCATAATCTTACTTTATTTACCAAAAAAATGCAATCTTTTTCACTTATGGTTGAAAGTTGAGTATGACTTGTATACAGATCTTTAAGTTTCAAGATTTGCTGTGAATCTTCTGGTTTTGCCCCTTTTTTATTTGATTTTGGGCTCTCCTTTTTTATTTGTTAAGATGATAAATGATGGTTCTTGGAACTTAGAAATGATTGATACTATGTTGGATCTTTTCATTTTGTTCATATATTGCTGTGACTACATATTTGTAAGTGAAAAATTCAAGAAAATGTCTAGAAGATTTCTCATTTTTCAGTTTTTTTGAACTTATGGTGTTAAGAAACCTGATGTCTACCCCCATACCCCCCTTGGCAGAAGTTGGTTTTCCATCTTTTAGTGTTTTGAGCTGTGTATTGATAAAAATTAGTTTTTTTTAACTTGTGAAATGGCATAAAGTTGGAATCTTTGTTAAAAAAAGGTGGAGGTTTTGGATAAATTGGGATTCTTCTGTTTGTTATGAGTTTTTAAGTTTATGTATTTTCAGTTTTCATTTCATAACTTGGGTTATGTTTCTTATTGTTGTTTTACTGACTGTTTGCTTTTAAGTGATTAATGTGTTGTTTCTTTGTTCTATGCAGATCCAGTATATTGAGCTCTTTCAAAAGTTTTTTTGAAGAAATAATCATCATTTTAACATAAGGTAAACTTTTGTGTCAATCACTTGGCTTTCTTTGATTGCCAAGAGAGATTATTCAGTCATTGATTTCATGTTTGTCTAATTTTCTCTTTCATTACTTAAGATAATGTTTTGAGGGTCTAAAATTATGGACAATCTTGAAAAGAATTGTAGTAATGTAATTACAATTACTAATTTTGCTACCTCAAAGATTGTATCACAACCAAACCAATTACCATCTCTGAGCAAGCTACTTATCCATTTTAGTTGTAGTAGGAAATCAAGAAATCGGTTTACGTACTCCTAGAAAATGTCGAATATCTTTTTTTTGATGATGTTGGTGCTTGGTTTAACTTGTGTGCACCTCGACTATTCCACCGGATACCTGCTACCTTCTATCAGCACAAGTATCGGTTTATCTGTTTTACCAAGGTCAAGGCAAATGAGAAGAAATTAATTAGTGTCAAATATATAGAAAAATTGTTCTTTTATAATGGTGTGCGGGCCCATTTGTCCGCACATCGACTATTCCTCCAAGTAGCACAGGATCGGGTAACTCTATTGACCAAGGCTTAGGAATATGGAAAAAAATGGTTTATATCTTCTACCTTTATAAATATGGTGTTTACACTATTATATCATTTTAATATTACTTGAAGTCCTATGTTTCTTCTCTAATGGTGTTTATATTCATTCGTTGTCTAGGTTCCAATCCATTATGGGCCTCTCACAATATCCAACTCCAGCAGATGCAGGAGTACTCGGTGTAATTCTAGTAAACACAGCCATATCCATCTCCATTATCAAGGAGATACTCCGTTCGATCCTTCGTGTGATTGGCATCCGTATCGCATCATGGGAAGACTATTCTATTGAAGGACCCTTGGACTCACTTGAATGCCGTGGAAGCCCACCAGAATCATACATGGAGGAGTTCAGAAGCCGAACGCCTGCATTTCGTTATGACTCGCTACGTATCTCTAACCACCCTGAACAAGAATGCTCTGTGTGCCTGACAAAATTTGAGCCTGATGCAGGGGTAAACAGCCTCTCATGTGGTCATGTTTTCCATAAGCTGTGTCTAGAGAAGTGGCTCAGGTATTGGCATGTAACTTGTCCTCTTTGTAGAAATTACTTGATGCCTCAACAAGAAGAGGACGATACATGTCCAATGTGAGATTAAACGTTTTACGGTGCCACTTCATCCATTTGCTGATGTTATTATGTACAGCTTAGTAGTGTACAGGCTGAGTATGTGTATGCTTGATCTTTGATGTGATATAGTCTGTTAGCTTGTCATATTTGTGATGGTTTGCGTCCTCTCAGAGTGACGGGTCTCTTTCGTGTGACCAAAAAACTTATACTATGTTGTACATGATTTAGTCCTGTAGCTTCTTGTGTTTGTAATGCTTTGCGTCCTCTCAGAGTGACGGGTCTCTTTCGTGTGACCAAAAACTTGTACATTATAGTACATGGTGTAGTCGTGTAGCTTATTAATGCTTTTCGTCCTCTCCAAGTGACGAGTCTCCTTTGGCATCACCAAGAACTTCTACATTGTTGTACATTGTTGTACATATAACCTAAAACTTTCTCTTATGTTACTTACAGCAACTACGAACTTGAGCATACGCTATCGATAACATACTCAGTGTTCCTCTCAAACTTACTTTCTGTAATATGTTCTAACAAAGTTGCTTCCTATTTTCTGATCTTTAATTGTTCAAAATGCTTCGTTATGCTTTCACTTCCGTGTGTTCTTTTCCTGGGCTGTTTTTCCTTGAGTCGAGGGTGGGTCTGTCAGAAACAACCTCTTACCTCTAAGGTAGGTCTAGATAGGGATAAGGTTTGTGTACACTCTACCTTTCCAAGACCCCACTTTGTTGGACTAGATTGGGATATGTTGTTGACAAATGACAACTGCATACACCAAGAGAGACGGTGGGGTGTGGGGGCTGCAGCAACGTAGCCAGGATTTGCACTAAGGGTAGTCAAAATATAAAGATATAAACACAGAAAGAAGCCAAGAGGATTTAACATATAGTATATACGTAAATATGTATTATAGAGGAAGTTTTACTTATCTACACGGTGTAACTTCCTAGTGAAGGGTTGACGAGGGTTGCTCCGCGAAAGCTATGCAACATTTTACTTAGAAGCAACCTATGATCATCCTTCATAAATTTACAACCTCATTTATCAATTAACACAGTTCTTATGATCAAGTATAATAAGATAAATGATTATGACATAACTATTATTGTATGTTTAATACTTTCATATCTGAAAACAGCCTTAACTGTTCATGAAGCTATATGCTATGAATTTCAGAAAGTTTGTTAAAGTTACTTTCCAGCAGCAAGTTCAGAGAGTTTCGAGCCAACGGACATGCTGGTGCGAGTCAGGCCGGAGTTCCTGTGGTATCTGCATCTGAATGAACCAGCATGTGTTGTTGGTGAACACAAGCAGCTGTGCTTTACACTTGATGCCTTCCTTAAGACTGTCGGCGAAGTAGGCGTGGAGGATGACAGTGGTGGTGAGCTCTTCATTGCTTCTAGACATATAATTTGTGGTAGATTTAACTTTTTCTTGCTAGTTTCTGCAATGTCAATTGATTGTTGAGCCATAGCTGGTTGTGGTTCCATCCTGAAGAAGAAAAAAATCAATTGGTATTAAGTACAAGAAGTTTAAGAGGGAGAACTTTGATATCTAACTACGACAACTATGGGGCACGAAGGGTTTAAGAATAAGAACAAGTGACAGAGAAGTCGTTTACTGATTAGCTGCTTGAACATGGAAAGATGTCGATTATTTCCTAATAATTGTTGTACCTCACAAGCCATATTAATTGGTTGATCAACACTATCTCGACCTTGAACTACCAGAGCGTTATAAATATTTGGCATTTTGCCTAGGGGAAAGGCTACATCTATTACCGGATCGATGATTTGGATGACACGCCCCGATTTTTTTTTTTCAAGCGTGGAAACCCCGGGGGCGAAGCCAGGTAAGGTTGAGGGGATTGGAAAATTACACTGTTTATATTATGTATAAAGTTATTTCTTTTATGTATGTACAGTAGATATTGAACTTCTTTGTTTCTTCGTATATTTACTTTTATCATATTCTGAATCCTTTCGGTGAAAATCTTGGCTCCGCTATAGAAATAGGTATGTCTCAAAATAAGAAACGACGGAGGGTAAATAACGTTTTTTTTTTTTTTGAGTTCAAATCAATTATTAGGATCTAGGGAAAGGTTTTTGGCGCGAAAAGGTGCATGAGTTCATAGTATTCGCCCTAGAATACCTCTCTTCTTTACTAAAATATCATATATATATTTATGAGAGGGAGTTACGCGAGTCTTTGATCTACATAATAAGGTTTTGGAGCTCGATCTTTTTTTACGACAAATATCCCTGTGTACCAAGAAACTACATCACAATACTAAAATCATTGAATTCATCATAATACTAAATCCTATCTTGAAATGTAATCTTTTAAAAAATATGAACAAATTATGCTAAAAATATGAAGAATTTTATTGATCATAAATGACATTCAAATCTTCCTATAATGATCCAACTCCCATCTTCATAACAATTAACAACAACAATTTACGCCTCATTTTCAAGCAAGTTGAAATCGATTATATGAAAATAAATTAATATATGAAGAAAAACCAAAAGACCAACATATAAAATTGGAATACTAAAACATAAAAAGAATAAATTTAATACCTGAAAATTGCAAAGACTGGAAAATTGATATTAGATGCAAAAGGGGTTAAAAGTAGATAAGTAATTATTATATTATATGAAAGAGAGAAATGTTTTGCATTGTTTAATTATTTCTTTATTTTTGGTTTAATTAATCTTTTTTTTTTTTAAAAAGAAATTAAAAATATAACTTTTTTTCCGTATTTGACTCTTTCTTAGTTTTAGATTTGAGGTTTATCTCTTTTCTTTTTTCTACACCACTATTTTTCTATTTTTACTCTTATTTTTTATTTGTTTGTTTGTTTGTTTACTATTATTATTATCTTGTAGCATTAAATTGCACCCTTTTAATTTTGCAAAAGTTTATTTAAAAGAATTTTTTTTGATATGTAAGTGCTTAGAATATTTATTTATTTTTAAAATAAATGATTTTCTTTTTCTTTACTTAAAATGTCATGCAAATTAATAGAAGTATCAAATCCCATCGAAATAAGCCTTGCTCACATTGTTGATCTCAAGTTTGAGAATCTTCGTAGCTTAAAAATCGATTTCTCCTCATCAGGTCGATGTGGGACATAAGATCTACCTATCTCAAGTCTTAACTCAACCCTAGATTCTAGCTCGAGAGGTGACAATAACCCAAAATCATTAAAAAGATCAATTTCTCCTCATCGGGTCGATGTGGGACATAACATCTACCTATCTCAAGTCTTAACTCAACCCTAGATTCTAGCTCGAGAGGTGACAATAACCCAAAATGATTAAAAAGACCGATTTCTCCTCATCGGGTCGATGTGGGGACATAACATCTACCTATCTCAATAACACTTGAAGCATTTCCAGTGCTACTTATCAAAAGTTTCATGGTTCAAACAGAGCAATCCAAGAAAGGAACAAACATAAAAATTTGATAAAATTACCAAAATGAAGAAAATACAAGAGCGAATCAAAACTGAGAATGTACTAACTAATGAAACAAATTTATACTTTTCCAGAAGAGAAACTAACAGAAATCTTGATGATCAAAGAATTTTCCTATATATCGGAAGATTTATCCCAACCGCGGTGGTGGTAAACCATTGTGTGAGTACATAGATCAGCTGGAAGAAGTGCAGGTATTGATACCATCCTTGCAGTCTTTAGTAAGATCGTTAAATGTCTCGATTTGCTTTTTACCTCTCAAGAAAACTTCAGTGTCAACTGAAACTCTCATGTAACCATCAAATTCGACAGGACTTCCATTGTGAAGTTTTGCTGTGTCTAAATACCATTCACTGCCTTCATCCCAAAGATCCTTATAGTCGCCGAGGAAATGTGTTGAGTACTTATCCTTTAAAGGATTGAAAAAAGATGTCTCTTGTTCATTTGTCGCGATATATAGGTTCCTTCCATCATCTATCTTGTTTTTCAAACTAGATAGAAGAGAGTCTGGAGAAGTATCTTCAGCAAGATGTGGCCACATTTCACGGTTCCTAGCCTTCTCGCCTCTCACAACATGTACCGAGTCATAATCCCAATTCAACCTAGAGGCAATAGCTGAGACAATGTCCATCAAACGTCTTGACTTCCATACCAAATGCCATGGCCGTTGAACAACAGATTCTGTCTCACCCTCACATACTCTGTACCAGTAATTATCTGGCTCCACGTTACCAAATTTCCTAACGATTAAAGTATCCTTCTGTTCAGATAACTTCATTGGTGTAACTCTAAAATCTTCGACAAGATGGAGAGATAGTCCATCTTTTTGGTGCCATTTTTCCCAATCGGCCCAAAACTGTTCCTGATCAAGAACTGATGCTGAATTCTTTAAATGCTCAAAGTCGAAGTAAAACCTGAAATCCTTTCCTTCCTCGTCTACGCCGGATGAAGTGTATATCTTCGATAAACAAATACTCAAGTCCATTATCAATGTTCTGTTCAAGTATTGTGCCTCGCCTAACGCACACATGAAGCTCCAGAGATAATGGTTCATGCTCTTGCACCTATCTCCACCTCCATGATATACCAAATACTTACCGCGCTTGAAAGAACTCTCTGATTCCACCACAGGAAGTGAGTCATTCACAGCTTCACCAACCTCAGGCAGAGCAACGTTTTGCCCCCCTGTCTTCGCAGCTTTCTCAAACCCCTCGTCTGACTTACCAGAAATTCTGTCCTTGCTCTTTCTCTTCCTTTTCCGAGCATTTCCACCAGTATGATACTCTCCAATGCTCACCACACTAAGCGTACAGTTCTCCGACCTAGAAACCACAAACTCGCGGTAATCCTTGTAAAAAGCAGCAGTCTTTCCATCCTTAGGCCTAAACCGCCAAGCCATGTGGCACGAACTATCATTCGATCCACGGACTGACTTCCCAAATCTGTAAAAATGTATATCCTTGAACTTCTCAATAGCTACTCTCATCAACAAATGAAACACATCTGGATCATTACAATCAATTGGTTCATCAGTTTTCCCATGACAATCAGGATCACTCTCAGTGCCACTGTCTGTAGCTGACAGCGAAACGTCGACATCAGTTAGGTTTATGAAGGTAGAAAATGCTTTCTGATTTGCACCAATAAAGTCCTCACCAGTCTTCATAACAGTGTCATCAGCTTTAAACGTGGCGTCAGATTTAGACGTAAGGAAATTAGTGATTTTCGTCGAAGGATGGAATAAAGGATCTTCAGGCTCATAAGTTGCAGCCATTATAGTAAAAATCAAAACTCCAACAACAAATATAGTGAAACAGAGATTCCCTATAATTGCCAATGTATTTTGCCCCAGATTTTCTGGCCTAAAACTTCCATTCCGGGACAGCAAACTTGGCGATCGACCCACCATTGTTCCTACTCCTTCCAATCACTACCACCACAAGAAATTCACAGAAATCTCCAAGGCCTGAAACAGAAAGACCCAAAAATCTTCAAAATATGTAACATATAAGGACAGAACTCCAGAGAGAGAAGTAAAGGGTGCTTGAAAGATGTTACCTTTAGCAAAATAATGCCAACATTTCGATCACTATGATCACCACAAGAAATTCACAAAAATCTCTAAATCTTAAAACACGAACACATAAAAATCTTTAACATATGAGATAGAAGTCCAGAAACAGAAGCAAAGGGTGCTCGAAATATGTCTCATTTGACAAAATAAAGCCAATAATTTCAATCACTATCCCCACAAGAAATCCACAAAAACCTCTAAATCGTACAACACAAAAATCATTAAAATATGTACACATATGAGAGTAAAACCCAACAAACGCAAGCAAAGGGCGCTCAAAAAATGTTATAGTTGATAAACAAAGCCAACCATTCTCCATCACTATCACCACAAGCAATTCAAGAAAAAACTCTAAATCCTAAAACACAAAGACACAATTATAAAAATATATACATTTAACATATGAGAGTAGAACTCAACAAACAGAAGCAAAGGGTGCTCGAAAACTGCCACATTTGACAAAATAAAGCCAATAATCCCAATCACTATAACCTCAAGAAATTCACAAAACCTCTAAATCCTGTAACACAAACACATAAATATCTTCAAAATATGTAACATATGTAAGTAGAACTCAACAAACGCAAGCAAAGGGTGCTCAGAAAATGTTATAGTTGATAAAACAAAGCCAAAAATTCCAATCACTATCACCACAAGCAATTCACAAAAATAAAAAATAAAAACTCTAAATCCTAAAGCACAAAGACACAATTTTTTTAAAAAAAAATGTAACACATGAGAGTAGAACTCATCAAACAGAAGCAAATGGTGCTCCAAAAATGCCACATTTGACAAAATAAAGCCAACCATTCTCCAATCACTATCACCACAAGCAATTCACACAAACCTCCAAATCCTAGAACACAAAGACACAATTTTTTTAAGAAGTATTAACAGAACTCCACAAACAGAAGCAAAGGGTGTTTGAAAAATGTTTCATTTAACAAAATAAAGCTAAAAATTCACAGATCTGAATGAAGGGTCAGTTTTGTTAATGGTGAATTGATGGAAAATTTATACATTCAAAAACTTTTTTTTTAATTACCTCATGAATCTTGAATCTTGATTATGAACCCCTTTTAGCTCAAAATGGATTCTACCATTATTTCCCTACAAAAAAAGGGGAAGAAAAGGTTCTTGATTTCCTTATTTTTCTGGAGTCAAATGCAAAAGATTCATAATGAGTGACTACAAGGATTCTTGCTAAAATGCGCACGTGATGTCCTACTATTATAAAATCTAATTTAGACCGTTAGATTTATTGGATTTTGGTGTTATACGCACTTGGCGCATTTTAGTTGCTTTTAATGAACATTTTAGTTATAGGAAATTAGTGTCATGAATATGCAGACAAAATTTCTGAGTTATTTGTCTAATTGGGCAAATTTCATGTTTGGGATTGTAAAG